TAAAAGGAAGAAGCAGCTGCAAGCTCACATCACTCTGAGAAGCACAGAGCCGAAGACACAAGCCTGAAGATGATGAATGAGACTTCATCGAAACATTGCCTAGATACTTCCAATCTTACGCGGGAGAAAACCCGAATAACCAAAGATCCACATACAAATACCCATCACCAGGCTTCTGTATTGTGTATAACAATACAGAAGCCTGGTGATGGCAGATGAGATTCTGCCGAAACGTTGCTACAACTTTAAAAGCACAACTATAATGACGTGGGAAAATACCCAAAAAAAGCTGAATACCATATATACATATACGTATACATATACATATACAAATACAAATACAAATACACATATACATATACATATAAACATTGCTGTGCTTCAGTGGTTAGATGGCCTAAACATTGATATTTGAACATAAATCTTTTAAACATTTATATATTATTGGGTTCTACTAATCTAGTTGAAATGTTAATTTGTTTAGTCTTTCTTCCTAGGATTTACATTCTAATCTCTTGATCCAAATTGGCAGAACAAAAAAAAATTAGGGAACATTTCACTCTCCTTATACTGTAGTTCCCCATTCACATTTTGTGAAGTATGTGCTGGATTAGTGTAAAGAAGGGCATGGGATGCTGGGAAATGGTAAGGAAGAATATTGTTTGATAATAGCAAGAGGAGGAAATAGAAGGGCTCCAACGGGAAGAAAAGTAGAATGGCTTGGAAGGAGGCAGGAATATTAAGTATGTTTGCCATCTTGATGTTTATAGAGATTCTCAGTCATCCAGGTCATGGTTGCCCAAAGGTACTTTTTCAAGAGGCAACTGAACTTTCTTTGTTTTTCCTTGAAGTTGTTTCGCTTCTCATTCAAGAAGCTTTTTCAGGTCTGACTGAATGGTGGAGAAGGATTTATACTCCTTGCAGTCAACTGGTCGTTAGTACTCTTTCTGAGAATTGTTGAGGCTTGGTTTATCTGTGCCTTCAGGGTCACCTTGATGTACAACCTTTTTGGAACTGCTGAAAGAACTTTGTTGTACACAGGAGATAGGTAGTGTCGTATCCTTTCCACTCTGTTGAGAGAGGGATGTCAGTTGTGACATAGATGGCCTCATTGACCTCTCTTTCAAACCAGCAGGCCTCTCTGTCCAGAATGTGGACTTTGCTTTCTTCAAAAGAGAGACCTTTGTCTTTCAAATGCAGATGGGCTGTTGAATCCTGTTCTGGTGTGTTTGTTCTCCTGTGTTGTGCCAAACATCTTCAAGGAAAACCAAGGAAGTCCAGTTGTCTCTTGAGAAAGCATCTTTTTACCTACGTTAATCTTTTGGGTTAAATGCTAACTGAGATACAGGATCAAGACATATTATAGATACGTGTCAGATTCAGGAATGATTCCCCTTGCCGCTCATCCTTATTTGAGACCCCTTTGGTTTACAGAGAACAGGTTGTCTTTCTTGGGCCTTGCTAAAGACAGTCGCTACGAGAATCCCAAACTTGGCAAGCTGCAACAAGTCCTGCAAGACCAGTTCCAAGAACTGAAGAGCTCACGGGGCATTGTGTTCACTTGGACACGCCAGAGTGCCTATTCACTACATGAGTGGGTCCTGGGCAATCAGGCTTTGTGTGCACTTGGGATCAAGTCTGATGTTCTAACTGGGGTTGGCCCCAGCAGTCAGACAAAACACATGACGCAGGTAAGTCTACAAAAAAAAATGTGGAAAAGCCTCTATCCCATTCCCAGATCTACTGTAAGTCTAATAGGGATGAGACCCCCAAAAGACTGAAAGCCAATTCATAAGGGTATGCACTATGACAAAGGACATTTCTCCATGCATAATTTCATTTGATCTTTCAGGATCCAATCTGAATTGGTTATCGGGACCAGGGGTTTGTTCTTCCAAGCCTTTTGAGCTCCTACTGGAGCCATCCTCAGGGCTCCAGCACAAGTCCAAAAGCTTGGAAGAAAAAAACTTCTGATCCCAGTGACCGACTCAGATTGGATCCTGCAACATTACCCTTTTTCTTCATTCATTTGATCTAGTAAATATTCTTTTCCAAATCAAGAATAGAAAATATCCAAGAAAAATTATTTGTCTTTAATTTGGTTTGGTATGACCAAGCAAGGAATCTGGTCTGAAACAGAGAGCTAATTTGACAGGGAATAGCCTTGGCTCCTTACCTTAATTCTAAAAGTGAAATTAATGCTAAAGCCACAATGGACAGCTCAATTCCTTTGTTACTTGTACATGGTTCAACTGGCTAGTTAAACTTTAATGCATTAGTAATAATTGAGTGCTGAGTCACGCCAAGTTATTTTTTAAAATATCTTCCCAGTTTTAGTGTGGAATAGAGCCCTGTTGGGTACATACATTTACTCAAAAATGTTTCACTCCAGCGTTATTTAAGCAGGAAAAAATATTTAGGACCCCAGAAAACACATGATTTGGGGAACTTTGTCAGGGTATTTCCAAAACAATATAGTAAATATAGTAAATATGTTCTGTAGTTTTCTGTTTTCTTGGCTAAGCTAAAACAGAAGCTTTGCAGGGCAGACTGGATAGGAAGCACAACCAGATTAATTAATTTTACTTTTTTGCTTCAGTGACAGAATCTTGGAAGTTTAAAAATTATATTTTTCCCTTCTTCACAACCAAGAGACTAGGGAGGGTCTTTGCCTCATCCACTATCCAGCTGTGGGTTATGGTGTTTCGTTACCTGATTGTTCCCTTTGCAAGGTCTCTTTGGCCAGTCTCCAAAGTCATTTTCACAACCATTACATACATAAAAAAGAGCTTTGAATATCAGAAGTCTCACAAACATGATGGATTGATTTCTCATGGTTTGTGGCCTCGTAGCTGAATATATCAAGGAACTCCAGCAGCAATTATCGCTATAGAAGTGATGTTTGGGGAAACTAAAGTTCTTTCTATGACAACTAATCTGTGGGTCACACGTACAAGCTATCATTTGATGCAACTTAGTCAAGAAGTTTACATTCGCATTTCCCCATACTTTAAAGCAGTGATCCCCAACCTTTTTTATGCCGCGGCCCGGTACTGGCATCAGCTGGGCGCTGCGGCCCGGTACCGGCATCAACTGGGCGGCGCCATCTTTTTTTGATGAAAAAGTGCTTCCGGTGAGCTTTCTACCCGGAAAAGCTCACCGGAAGCACTTTTTTATCAAAAAAAGATGGCGGCGCCCAGCAACCAGCGGCCCGGTAAGACTTGTTCCGCGGACCGGTACTGGTCCGCGGACCGGCGGTTGGGGACCCCTGCTTTAAAGCACCTTTTTGCCTTTGAATTGAAAATATTGCACAGCCCTGAATTATAAGTACTGCTGGGGACACATCAACTCTTTAAATAGTCATTCCTTAAATCTGATTTTCTGCTCACCAAGGATGCCTTGGGTAGCTCCCAAGAAAAAATCTTAGCAAAGTGCAGACAGATAACAATTCTTACCACATTATATTACTATACAATACTACCGATATTATTGATTTGTTTTATTAGGTTACTGCAAAAGAAGAGTAAATACAGTAACGCAATATGACATTTAAATCAAATTAAACATGCTATTATTTTGGCAAGACAGAAACTTAACACTGCAATGAAATCCTATGGCACAGAATGCCTTAAGAAAAAAGAAAGGCCTTGCCAGATGTAGTCTATACCAGGAATGGGGAACTATAGCCCTTTTATGACCTCTGGACTTCAACTTCCAGAATTCCTGAGCCAGCCATGCTCAGAATTCTGGGAATTTAAGTCCACAGGTCATAAAGGGGCCATAGTTTCCCACCCCTGTCTATAGACTAGTTGAATAAGTTCTGGTAAAAGTATTTAAAGGAAGGCCACATCTGCCTTCTGGGATTGAGCATCCCAATTTCGCTCCAGGGTCAAATAAAAAAAGCCTTCTAATTTTGTCTTGGGTGTTTCTTTCAGCAAGAACAACAAGACATTATCCAACGCTTCCGAAAAGGGCAACTCAACCTTCTTTTTTCCACCAGCGTGGCTGAGGAAGGGCTGGACATTCCTGAGTGTAATATCATAATCCGTTACGGGCTAATGACAAATGAAATTGCCATGATGCAGGTCAGTCAATTTTGAGAATCTTACTAAAATGCACCTTGATACCTGCAGAAGGAGTCTGGAAAGGAAAGGAGGAGTGTTGCTAATGCTGGGTCATTGAGAACAATAAGAGTTCAACTGAAGGGTAGTTTTTGATGGATCCACGTATGTTCTTGAGCAGGGGTCTCCAACCTTGGCCACTTCAAGACTTGTGGACTTCAACTCCCAGAATTCCTCAGCCAGCTTTGCTTTGCTTTGCTTTGCTGGCTGAGGAATTCTGGGAGTTAAAGTCCACAAGTCTTAAAGTGGCCAAGGTTGGAGACCCCTGTTCTTGAGGACAAGTGGACCACTTGTGGGCTTGATCTTTGGAGATGAACGCAGGTGCTCTTCTTTCTCTTTCTTAAGGCCAGAGGCCGTGCCCGTGCCCCAAACAGCATCTGTTCCATTTTGGCCAAGACCAACAGCAAGGAGGTAGCCCGTGAGAGGCTTAATGAAACTTTGGAGATCCTAATGGAGAGTGCCATAAAATGGGTGCAGGAGATGCCTGAGAAAGAATACCACCAAAAGGTAAAAAGAACTTCCTGGAAAGGCCAAGAAAGTGGCCTTTGATATTTAGGCTTTGAAAAAGAATAAGAATAAAGTACTAATTTTGCAGAAAACACAGCAAGACAGATTCTGACATGCTGTAATAATGTACTCTTATCTATTATTTTGCTGCCATTCTACATCACCATAATTGTGGCTCATAGTCTCAAATTACAGTCTTCTAAGGGGGGGAGACTTTGAGCTATTTGTTAAGGATTGGAACTCATGGAATCCCTAATTTGGAAGCCTAGTTTCAATGTTATCTTAGAGACATATCTGGATACTTATAAAAAAGAATTGCAGGAAGTTTTAGGTACTGTAGTTCCAGTGGTGTGGAGTTCTTATCTGAACCATGGACCTGTTGAGGATCATAGAACATTACAGATGAACTTCAGGCTACTTACATGGATTTTGAAACAATACATGCCAGAAGATTGGGGAGTTGTTTGATTTTACAACCACTATCAATTTTTAAAGAATCTTCCCTGACTTCTCCTTTTCTTTAGAAAGCTGTTATAGGTCTGTTCTTCCATAGTTTGAGAAGTTACTGATTCAATGAGAGGTTTCCAATTCAAGTAGTCTGTGATGCAACTGAACACATATTTACAATTGGTAAATCATTTCCATAATCTGAATGCTTAGCAACTGACTTTTATTTATGATGGTTGCAGTATCCCACAGTCACAAGAAGGGTCAATGGGGAAGTCAGCAGGGAAAATCACAAAATCACAAGTCACTTGGGTAAGACTTTCCCACTCTGCAGCAACCACCTCCAACCCTCCCCCCACTGGTGCAATACCTCACTGACTTGTTGTGCATCCTTGTACACAGTGCCACAGGCATCTCATGCTCATGTCATCAGCTCCTCACGCATTCCTGCAGCAGCCACTCCAAGCCCCTTCTTTCAGCATGTATACTCTCCTGCACCAGGCAGCAATCATCACTTACCTACATGTCAGTCTCCTTGCCAGCCGTCTGGCACTTGCAATTTTTTATTATTATTATTATTATTATTATTATTATTATTATTATTATTATTATTATTATTATTATTATTATTATTATTATT